GTGTATACACATATCTTTAGAAGGTTACATGGCAATATCTACTAGCTGTCACCAATTATTCCTGAGAAGGCTACCCTGTAAGGAGGAAATGACATTAAGAAGGAAACATTTATTTCCCTATATGCATGCACCACTGAACTTTGTAATTATGTGCATGTATTATTTATTCAAAAATAGTTTAGGGAGCTAAAAATTAAGTCCCTGAAATGGTTGGGAAACTGGAGGGAAGGAATTAGGGGCACCAGAGACTTCTCTCACCAGGGTCAGACCCCGGAGGTCAAGGTTTATTCATGCATAATAATCCTGCATGCTTCCTGGAAACAACATCCACCAGGGAATCAAGACGGGAAATACTGGGAACTTGGAATCTGGTATAAAATGTATCATTTTTCCATTTTTTATTTTTAAAATTCTTTTTTTTTAAATGTATAGTCTTAATAATTAACTTCCCCATGTAAGCATGGTTGGAAGACTGAAGAAGTTTAAAACTTAACTGTCAGCTTTGTCTAAGGCCCACAATTATCTTCATGGCAAGAGCCATTTATAACACCAGTGAAACAAGTAAAGAAAAATAAAAAGTGTTATTTTTTTTAAATTATGGTTTTATTGCGCTGGAATAATGTGGGGGAAGTCTTATGGGAAGATACGAAGTCAGATAGCAGAAATTGTGAGAACCCACTTCAGATGGTCATGTCTGCATGAGTGGAAGCTTGGAGGGAATGATTCATCTTGGTGGTTATGGAGAGCAATGAAAAACTGTTTTGTGTTGTGCAAATATTGTGGACAATTTTGAAATATGCTTGGAACTCTACATTCAAGCAAATTATACTCTAAAAATGATAATTCAAGAAGGTCAGAGAGAATGCAAAATACACTAAAAAATGACAATTACAATTACAGGATTTCATTTGAAAATATAAATGCATAAAGTAAGTTTGACTACTGTCTAAATAGAAGCTACAACATAATGGTTGTGAATATCACTCCTGGAATCAAATCAGGGCTCAGATCCAGGTTCCTGGCTCCATCCCTCAGTATGGCCTTAGTCTTGAGCAAATGACATCAATGGTTTAATCCTTGGTTTCCTCAACAGTTAAGTGTAAAGAATAATAATAGTTACCTCATAAACCTTATTGGGGTGATTTAGTGAAGCAATATATGTGAAAACACATTAGTGTTTATTACACAATTGACCCTCTGTAATTGTTGCCAGTAGAATGTGTTGGGCTCTGAATTCACACTGTTTAGGTTCAATTACTGGCTCCAAAGTTTACTGAGCTGAGATAATGGACAGTTTGACTAACCAATCTGTGCCTTATTCCTTCTCTTTAAAAAAGGGGATAGTAATCACAATCTACTGTATTGTTTTTTTCCTTTCTGCTTAGCAGGTTACCTCAGATTTAGAAGTTTAAAACAACACCAATTTATTAGCTCACAGTCGGGTTTGACTGGATTTTCTGCTTTGGATCACACAAGGTTGAAATCGAAGTTTTAATCCAGGGCCATTTTGGATATTAAAGAAAATTCTGGATTAAACACTTCTGGAAAAGTTTCTTAAACACAGGACTTTTCAAAGTTTTATATGCTAGCATTCACCATGAATCTTTAAGATGCTGGTATGATATGCAATGTTACCCAGATTATTTGACCATGGAAAAATTTGTTTTTCCCAGAAACTTATTAACATCTTGGGGAAAGTAAGCCTGCAGAAAATATTTTGGGAAGTGCTGTCTTCAAGTGATGTATAGACTCATTTTTGGCACTTTAAGCACATATTTGGAGAAGCTATAAAACTGTAGGCTGGATCATATATGATTAGTAAAGGTCCCTCAGCACTTTATGTAAGGCAGAAGATTCATAACAGAATATTATTCTTTTATTTTTTCTTCTTTTGTAAATAAACCTCTTTCCTTTGGTCTTCTCACATTTCTCATATTCCACTTCAGAAGAGGCTATATGTGAATTTAGTAAGTGAAGTGAGTCTTATAAATATAAATTAGGTAAAATGCGTGTAACTTTCAAAATGAAAGGCTTATTGGTACATGATCATTATCAATAAGTGGGGTGGGGGGAATAACTAAGCCCAGGGAGCTATAGATCTAAGGCTATATATCAGATTTAGATGGGAAATGGGGCTTGTGGAAGTAGAGGTATTAAACTGGCAACATGTTTTACAAGTCATCTACCAGTTAACACAAGATGGCATTTATAGTCATAGCTTCAGGTATCTGGTCACAGAATATGCATTTTAAAGTAGTTTTACACTCTCCTGGAGTTCTTTTTTTTTTTTTTTTTTTTTAGGATTTTAAGTTAAAAAAGAAAAATATAATAGCAGACACTGTTGTCAAAAAATTAACTTTCGAACATGCTTATTAAGGTCATATATTATCATAAAAGTGGAAATAAACAGAGAATTAAATAGGAAAATAATATCTCACCACAGAGACACTGGTTTTTGATATTACATTTTTGAAATTTAGTGCTGTCTTTTAGAAATAATACCTTAACACTAATACTAAAGATGTCATTTCAAAAAAAAAGAAAAGAAGTACCTTACGGTAGGCATGCCACAGAATGACTGGAAAGCACACTTTCAAAATTAAGTAATAATGATGTGCCAAGAAGTTGGAATTTAATTGTTTAAAACTTCTTTGCTACAGCTCTGAATGATGATGTTGCATTCTAACACCACTGGCTTTGAGCATAAAAATAGACAGTAGATAAATAATTCTTCCTCTTTCCCTTAGCAAAGTCATTTTTAAAACTTTTTTTTTCACCCAGTTCCTGGTGAAAAAGGTGAAGGGATTGAGAAGTGCATATTGGTAGTTTACAAAATAGTCATGGGGACCCAAAGTACAGCATAGGAAATATAGTCAATAATACTGTAATTATGTATGTGCCAGTTGGGTACTGGAAATATCAGGTGAAACACTTTGTAAAATATATATGATTGTCTACCCAAAATGCCGTTCATCTGAAATTAATATAAAATAACATTAAATGTAAACTGTAATTGAAAATATTAAAAAATTGAAAAAATCTGTTAACTGAAAAAAAACTATTCTTTCACTCTCCCAACAATCATGAGGTCAGCACAAACCTTGTTTTGAAATAATTTTTGTTGCTGTTGTTTTCTGTTTGCCTGTGGCATAATGCCTTAACTCCTCCATTGCAAAATAAAGTATTACTTTTCCATCAGTCTTGCATCCTTGATCTCACCTCAAATTCCAAAAGGAAGGTAGAAATTAAAGTTTAAATAACTCAAGGAAGCAAAAGGAGATGAAATTGGACGGCCAAACCTCCCGTCATCCTCTTCTAAGTACATCCCCCTTTCATATTTTGCCTTCAATAATGTTTTCTTCAATTTTTGCCTCTGTTTTTGTCATTCTACCACCCTCTCTAGAAGGAGAAAACAAAAACAAAAACAAAAAAAAAAACAAAACCCTGAATTTCATTTTGGTACCTGCAACTGCTGGAATTGAATCCATGTACACTAAGCAATCATTCTAACAGGAAAGAAGAGAGCAGTGTTGTAAGCCATGGGCTATATTTTGGCTCAACCACTTTCACTGCAAAAACCAGTCCGTTTATGTCGTTTTTGGTGGGTATCAGGGGAATTTGATCCACTTTAGTGATGCTTTAGGAATCTGTCATTGCCTTCTATCTTCTTGCACGGTCCCCAAATTCGCCGCAATATTTCTTATCTGAAACAGATGTCCTGCTTAACAAGATGCATGTCTCCTATTTGCTTGCCCTAAGCCTTCATCTTTTTGCCCCTGAGAAGAGATGAGCCCATAACCCTGAGTAATCCAGCCCCAGAGCTAACAAAACTGCTGACGGAACAGTAGAGCAGCCCTGTTTCATATGATTACAGTCTGGCCGCTGAGTAGGTTGCATTTCCTGAGAATCACAGGATAACCCGCTTTATAGCGTTCAGTCTCTCGCAGTTTCGTGCCCCAAGAGCCACTTTTCAAAATCTTTTAACTTCTTTTCTTGGTTGTATTGAGAACTGGACTTCAGGGGATTTCTTAACGTAGTTCATTATAACGTCAACGCTGGAAACCAAGGGAATCTCAGCCAACGAGCGTCTCTGGAGTGTGTGGAAAAGGTACAAGAAACGTAGAAATGTAGGAACTTCAGAGTCAGTAGCAGGTGCCAGGGTGTGGCTGCAGTTGTCTCCCTTTTCTCTTCCAGCAGAAGGAGCCACGAGAGAGAGAGAGAGAGAGAGAGAGAGAGAGAGAGAGAGAGAGAGAGAGAGAGAGAGAGAGAGAGAGAGAGAGAGAGAGAGAGAGAGAGAGAGAGAGAGAGAGAGAGAGAGAGAGAGAGAGAGAGAGAGAGAGAGAGAGAGAGAGAGAGAGAGAGAGAGAGAGAGAGAGAGAGAGAGAGAGAGAGAGAGAGAGAGAGAGAGAGAGAGAGAGAGAGAGAGAGAGAGAGAGAGAGAGAGAGAGAGAGAGAGAGAGAGAGAGAGAGAGAGGGGGAGAGAGGAGGGGGAGACTGAGGGAGGGAATAAGAGGGAGGACAGGGGGCGGGGAGCGCCTGGGGAGCGCGCCTGCGAGGCTCAGGCTCACATGCACGCCGCCTCTGTTTGTACACAGTGCGCTCCTGGCTGCTGGCTCGCGTGCTCCCCGCCCGCTCACGCTTCATTGTTCTCCAAGTCAGAAGCTCCGCAGCCGCACGGCTAGAGCGACGCTACCAGCGCCAGCTGAGCGCACAGTCTCCGCCAGCGCGGGTGACCCGGACCGCGCGGGAGCCCGCGCCCCGCCCCGCCCGCCGCGCTCAGCCGGGACCCACCCGCAGCGGAGGCTGAGCCAGGCAGCTCCCCAAAGCTCGCCCACCTCTTTGCGCCAGAACGCAGGCAAAGGGAGACGAGAAATTCCTCTCTTTGGTCACCCACTCTTTCTCGCCCTCTCCAAGAATTTGCTTAAGGAAGCGCTTCGGGAAGAAGACATCTTCCTGAATTCACTGTCAGGGGCGGGGTTGCGGGTGACCTGCGGTGCTACCTCCGTGACACTGCCCCCCCGCTACGACCCTTGATTAGCTGGAGTCAAGTCCGGGAGAAGGGATCATGAAGAGCTCGGTGGCCGCTTGCCTCTTCGTCGCGCTCAGCCTCGGTGTCCCCCAGTTTTGCAAAGGTGAGGCAGCGAGGGCCGGGGCGCTGGGTGCGGGACACAAGAAAGTCCCCTGGGAAATGCTGTGCATGGGGCTGGCGTGAAGGCGGTCCCCCGAGCGGGTCCGGGATGTTGAGCACCGCGGGCGGTCGGCGCGGAGGAGGAGGCAAGCCTGGGGCTCCCCAGAAAAGTGCTCGCAAAGTCAGAGCGAGTGAGCAGGGTTGAGCGGGAAAGAGGGTGCATAGTACGGAGGTGAGATTGAGAAAAGACAGGAAAAGAGGGGAGGCGAGAGGGAACGGCGCTCTTCGGCACCAGAGATACCACGGCTCACTTGGCCATCGGGTGGCCGTGACCGCGCGTACCTTCCCTGGGCAGAGCTTGTAGAGCCCACTAAGATCACTGCTCACTGGGCGTGCATTTCCTGGGGGCCAGCTGGGGAAGCGAGCGTGCCAGGGTCATCATCTAGTTAAAACGGGATAAGGCTGGAGAGATGCAGGACTGTCTGGCTCTGGGGCGCGGCGCTTCGGCGCGGGGCTAGGCTGAGCAGTTTGCAAATCCAAACCTAACGCTGGGAGTCTGGGCCGGGGGTGAGATGGAGAACGGCCTGACAAGTCAGTTCGGCTTTCTTCCGCCTCTCCATCCAAGAAAGATGCATCACTGATTACAGAAAAACCCCAGAATCTGCCTCTTCTCTAATCCTAGGGGCCTGGAGCTTTGCTCAGCACTCCCTTCTGTTACAGGCTTAACTCTTGGAAATAGAAAATCTTTCAGTGCAACCCTCACGCCCCCGCCTAAGAGCAGAAAAGTTCTAAGAGCTGGTCTGGTGGTGCTTTCCATGACTTGTGTGAAATAAACCAGCCGGTTAAAAAAAGAAAAAGGAAAAAAATAGAGGACTTCTTCGAGTCTCCTGCTGAGTTGTATAGATAGATGACTTCCAGGTCCTTTGTGAGGAGTGGCTTTTCATCGCACGCCCTGGCCATGGTCCCGTCTCTGCGCCCTTGGAGGCTGAAGTTGGCACGGGAAAAGGGCAGGAGGAGCGACAGGGGCTCTGGGAAAAGCCTGGCGGGGGGGGGGGGGGGGGGGCGGGTTGCGCCTCTTCTGCACTCGCAGTTGCCGGTGACCCCTTCTAAGGGCTCCTCAGGCTGCTTCACAGAGAAAGCTGAGCGCACTACAGGGCTTGAAATTCCGTGCCTATTAAAAATGGATAGTTAGATTAAAAATGTGTTGACTAGAATCCATTTGAGGTTAGATACTGCATGAATATTCTGCACCATCTATCCATTTGTTTCACGAGAAAATTGTGTACTCTTGGACTACTCTTCGCCCAAGAGGCCGGGTGTTCCTGGCCACATGCCCTCGCTGCGCTGCCAATAGTGATCTGTGGCCTTTCCCTTCCTCGCCTGCCACCCTCCCCCAGAAAAAGGTTCTTATCCCCAGCGTGTGTGTAGGTGTGTGCCTCCACAGAGTGTACAAAGTGCCCTTCCAGTGATCAGGCAGAGGCAGCCACTCCACTGAAGGTTACAGAGTGGTAATGGCTCTGTAGTTGCTCAGCCGAGTCCTCCCGTGGTAATGCTCCCACCACCGATATTTTTCCTTTCTCTCATTTCCCGAGTGAATTTCATTTGCACTTTGATCCCGTAGCTGGAAGATGAAGCGGAGAACTGCAGACACTTCTCTCCTCCTCCCTTCCCTGCCTCCGTTCACGAAACACACACACTCGCCCACACCTACACCGTGCCACTGCCACCATCTGTCCCGCTCCGAGGTGGAGGGCGGCAGAGGGGGAGATGGTGCTTTTAGTGTGTGTGGCTGCTGTATCTTTGTTTGGTCTGGTTACTGTAGCCCGGGGCTGATGAGTCCCAGCTTGCTGCAGCCCGGAGCTCTGCCTCCTAAGGATACCCACGCTTAGGGCACAGCTTACTCCTCCAGACAAACCTACCATGCCTGGCCTTCCCATTCAGGCTCCTAGACAATGCTCGGGCAGCTGTGTGCTCCATATTCTTCAGTAGATTTCTCCTTTTTCAGCCAGCCTGTGGGGAGAGGGAAAAAAAGGCTTTAGGAAGCACTGTTTTCCATGAGCAATCTATGTTAAACTTGCACCTTTCTACTTTATTCTCCCTCGGCCCTGCAGAAAGCAGAGAACAGCTTGCATGACAGCTCCAAACAATTAAACTTTGAGCAAAGTTATCGAAGCCGGTGTTAACACTTAGAATTTCCCTGAACCCTTCTCCTCCCTGCCCCACACAATTTGTCCAATGCATGCCTTTTAGAAATTGGAGTTCCCCTGTGTGGGTTGTAATTTCCATGCATTAATGCCTGGGATTTGATAAGGACATGTAATTCCTTTTATTAGTCGTTTTTATTTTAAAATTAAACCAATGGATCAGTCAGACTGAATATTTTATTAACTCTTAAATTATTCATCGTTATGGGTTGCTCTAAAAAATCCAATAACATGCATACAGTTGCAGCAAGCACGTGACATCTTATGCAATCTGTCCCTGCGCCTGCAGTTTGTGCCTGAAGTCTTTAAGCAAATGGCACTGTCTAAAAACGTCTAGACATGTCCTAAATACTATGAATCATTGACATTTACATTTTTGTAAATCAATGGCAATTTTTAGTTAATGCGATGTGAAAATAAATTATTACCTGAATAATCTCACTGGGGATAACAACACTATGTTTCTGTGATTAGTACAGTAATATTTATGCTGAAATAACATGATTTTTACATTTTTAAAAATTATTATACATTAGTGTCTTCATTACCTAATTTACATGATCATTATTTTTATACTTTAAAAATAAGTGGTAACTTCCCATCCTTGGTGAAACATTTAAAAATAATTTTGAGTTGTTGAATTAAAAGTAAAAAAGGAAAATAAAGTGTCCTGACATGACTATTTGACTAATGCAAAGCCTTGATCATGTCATACACTGTTATGGTAGGATGAACATTTTTTTCTCCTTCTGGTCATGAACATGTTTTTCTTAATCATTCTTGAAGTATTCCCTTAGAATTGAAATGTATTTTATTTTACATTTATATGATTTTGGGAAAACATTTATAATAACACAAATTAATTGTTAAGAAATTGAAATGGTCTATTCTTCCTTCTATGGTCTTGAAGTAACAAAGATCTTCAAAACCAGGTAAATGTATATGGCTTCTAAACTCTTCTCTAAATTAAAACTCTGCTGTAGTTTGCTCAGATATCTTAAGATCATTATTCATTAAAACATGTATTCAGGATTAGGGTTTCAAAAAATAAATTGTTAATAAAATTCACTTTTATTGCTAGACACATGTGTTTTTCCTTCTTATAAAATTATAACAATATAAAGTAAAGGGATAAAGTATACATGACTACAATAAAATAGTTTGGTTACTCACAACAAAATATTTGAAAGCTTTGAGACTAAATTTATAGCCCAAACTCCTAATTTCACTGATATTAAGATAAAAATTTTAATTAGATTATTTACTTTTAAAACTTTGTATCTTTTGCAGGATTTTGAATAATGGGATGAACTGTATATATTATCATTTGTGTACAGTTTAAAAACTTGCTAGATGTGAGAGTACCTAAAGCCTAAGAAACTAATTCTGACATTTACTATTTACTGAACACACTTGCAGGTGCAATAGTACTGAGCCCAATTTATGAGGTAATGGGTTCATTATCTTCTTGCCAAAACAAAACAAAACAAAACAAACAACAACAACAAAATAATGGAGGCCTCAAAACTCATTTCAAGCAAGAGTAAATCAGAATGAGTAAGGATTGAGAAACAAATAGCAAATTTTGCAAATATATAATCAATGGTATGGCTTCTGTCAGAGCTAATAAATTTACTCTTTATATAGTTGAGTTTATTCCCTAAGTAGTTTGCAAACAGATACTAGTTTGAAAAAAGAAGTAGAAAATCAAAACCAAGCCATTCCTGTTATTCACTTCTTTTATCTGTGTTTTAATGAAGATGTCTAGCATAGGTTCAATTTAGTTTTTGTTTTTAAAATCAATGTTCATGTGATGATTTTAATGTCTGTTTATTAATCAAAGCAACATGTATGTATACACAGAGTCAAATGGTTACCTGTATGGGGTGTTAACAATTTTCTCATAGTTATGTGATTAAGTACTATAAATACTTAAACTGAATGAATTACCACTTAATTGTCAATTAGAATACCTCTAAAACGTCTGATTTGAGAGAGCTGTTGAAGGGAAAAGGAGACGGGAATCAACTCTGCCCTTGCCAGCAGATGTCAGGATAATCAGTGGAGATCTTTTAAAGGAAAGGTGGAAAAAATAAAAGAAGTAAACTCGTAAATGCTAATCTGCAAATCCACATAAAGTGAATTTCTACTTAGTATGAAACTGATATTATTAGTTTTCAGTGCTCCCCTGAAAAAGTAAGACCCACTGCTTGTATCCCAGGATTTTAACATGGCAACAGTGTTACTCTTACTGCTACAAACAAGTACATTTGTAGGATGAGCCCTTATTCCTCAGGGGTCTCTTGAGTATTTTCAAAGGAAATGCATGTAGAAGTATGAGGTGCTTACAGTAAAACAGTTACTGAAATATTTGGCATGCTTTTGAGCTTATTCTCCATACCAACTGTATGTTTTATAAATAGAAATTATGTGATACTGATTTTCATGAATATATATATGTATCAACTATATGTTTATATACATCTATTATACTGATAAGAGATGACTGAATATCTTTTCCTATCATGATAGTAAAGTATATGTTTTCTAGAGTTTGCAAGTTTTTAAATAAGTCATGTGCACAAAAGAGACTAAGTGGCAAAAAGAGACTAAGGATAAAGTTTTAATCCTTACTAAAACCTTTTCATTAATCCTTATTAATCATTATGCATGTACCTATTGTGTATCAAGCTTTCAGTGACTTGACATCATTTATTTGTTTCTAATTGATCCTTACCTGATAACCTTTCCTTGCAAAGGAGTTCTGACATCTATGCTTATAGTCTTTAAAACCAGGTTA